TTTATTTATATTTACTTTTAATTTTAAAATTTTATTTATATTTATTTATATTTACTTTTAATTTTTTAATATTTAAAATTGTTATTAATATTTTGGTTTACATATTTTTCAAATATTTTTTTTAAACTGTATTTCAATGTTTTTTTTTTAAAACTGTATTTTAATGTTTTTTGGAAAATTAATTAATTTTAATTACTTTTATGAAATTTGGTTAAAATTGTTTTTTTATATACGTATTATGTATATGTATAATTTTATCAACTTCTCTTTTTTTTATATTATTTCAATGTATTTTTTAATATTTTTTTTTTTTTTCAAAAGTTTTTTTAAAACAATATTTTTATTTTTAAATTTTAAAATTTTATTTATTTATATTTACTGTATGTAGTTTTTTATATATCGAATTTTGATATAATTTTTTACATTTCTGTTTTGTTCCAATTTTTTTTTTAAATTGTTTAAAATAGTTTATTGCATTATTATTATGGCAACTTTTCAACTTCTCTTTTATTATTTTTAAGTATTTTATTTTACAACCCACTGTATGGTCTCGCCTTTTATATTTGCAGACTTGTTTTGCTTGGCTCATCGCATTATAAATTCTTCAACGACTTCGCCGCCAACGAAGCCATCATGATGACCGAGATATATGAGTATGCCTGCTCATTGAATGATGATAAATTCTCGCTAGTCGAGTTTCAGGTAAGCTGGAGACTTTTACTCAATCCTTGTCATGCCTATAATATATTTTTTTGTGTTTATCTAGCCTTATAAATATTTGCTGGCCACACGCCTGCTAGATTATGGCTATAATTTACGTTGTCTAATGTATTTTGAACAAATAGCTTTGCATATACAACGCGATCCGAACAAATACGAGCCAAGCTTCATTAATAAGGTGAGTCAATATGTGATTTTTTGACTTAAATGCAAATGTTATTCAAATAACATACAAAAAAAACCTTTTTATTTGTAGATCTACGAATTCGCCGATCGTCTTAAATACTACGACCCAGTGTTGGAACGCTCCTTGGACGATCAACAACCCCATGCTGACGGTGGTTTGAATAATCAGTTACCGAACTTCGAGGAGCAAAAGTGGTTGCAAGACTTGCGCGCCCTTGCAGTGCAACATAAGGTGAGTGTGGGTGAAAACTCATGACATAGCGTTGTCATAAATATTCTAGAATATAATTTCATCAAACTAATGAATATTCTAAAATATAATATAAAAAATAATATATAACCAATTTATAATGGATATAACTAGCTCAATGATGCAATCAAGCAATCAATGCCATTAAGTCATTATTAATTCAGCGAGCAATTGGATGTCATAATGTCATATACACTTAATTTTTTAGTGGTATTATGGCGTCTTAAATTAGAATTTTCCAATTCAGCTGGTTAAAGTTGATTCCAAAACTTTTTCTAAGCCCTTGAGAGACGTGCAGAAAGATCTACGCTAAAAGTTTTAATACAATTTTAATTTTACCTAATAAATATTTGTTTTATAAAATAAATTCATATTCAGCGGTACTTAAAACTGTTTATTATGTATTATTAGTGCATAAGCCAATGTTAAGTCGTATTTAATAAGCAAAGGTATATATTTTCAGCTATTCAGCGAGTTTGTAATAATCGTTTCATATTTAATTTTCATTGTACCTTACTTTAGCTAAGAAAATAAATAAAATAAAACAATTTTGATAAATTCTTAACTCTTAAAAGTTATCATAAGCGTGTTTTTCAAGGATATTATACAATTTTAAGCCACAAGTGGTTAAAATCGTATTCAGCTTTTTTAAAGCATAGCAGATTATGTTTTATAATTGCATAAGCAAGTTCTATGGCATATTAAGATTATTTTTTATGTGTATTCAGCACAGCTATTCCGCGCGATTGTAGTGAATGCTAAGTTTTCAATTTATCTTATACCAAATTTATGTTGGTAAATCTTTTGCTCAACGTTTACTCAGCTATTCAACGCAAATTATTAAACGTACTGACTATTTCTCAACTCGTAAAAGTTACTATAAATATTATTCAGCGCGTTTTTGAAGAGCTATAAATTAATATTTATGCCATAAGTGGCAATAAAGTATATTCAACTTTATTAAATAATATTTTGTTATGTATTTTTATTGTTTAATATAAATTTTTATTTGCGTGTCTACATCACAGCTAATTTATTTATTATTTAGCTATTCAGCGCGGTTATAGCGAAAGCACATTTTTTCAATTACCTTATACCATATTTAAGTTGAGAAATAATTTGTTTAACGTTTACTCAGCTATTCAGCGTACTTTCTTAAATGCACAAACTGTTCTTCAATGCATAAAGGTACTCATAATAGTTATTCAGCGCATTGCAAAGCGAATTATAATGTGTGTTTAGTATTTTTAGTAACTGAGTATCTTTTATTAGATATTCAGCGCGTTTCAACTGCAAAATTGTTGCTTATAAAGTATACAGCGCTATGAAAGAGAAAGTTCGACGAAATTTTTTATGCTATAGTACATATTTATACTTTAATGTGTTCTATAATTTACGATTTCAAACTGATTTTTTTTAGGACGAATATACTAGCTCTGCTACAGCAGTGCATGGACAAATTGCCGATGCACAGAGTCAAATCGATCAACAATTTGTCGAGATAAACAAACAATTTAATGAGCTGAATTTGCAATATCAAGTTCCCGGCAATGCCGAACAGGCGCCTACCTTTTATAATCCAGACGCAATGCAGCAGCAGCAACAACAACAAAACGATATTGCTGCTGAACAATACAATCAACAACAACAGCAACAAATAGTATTGTCTGGCGACTATAATAGTCAGCAACCGAGCGTAGTTCCACAAGCTCCAAACCACTCAGCTGCTGTTGTACAAGATGCTAACGATGCATCATATGCATATTACAAACAGCAGCAACAGGATATGCAGCCAATAGATACACAGCAACGGCAACAACAACAACAGGAACCTCACTCAATTCCGTACTATGATCCCACACAACAACAGCAACCTTATCAAGGTTATGGTGCAGAAGCTGTGGATGCGCAACATAATGCTGCAACTTATGATTACTGGGCACAACAAAATCAACAGCAACAGCAACCACAACATGTCGGTTATGGCGACGAGGTAAGTGGTGTGAATTTGCACGCTTGCCGTTAAATGAGTATGAATTGTATAGAAATTTGTATACGAAAGTGAAATAAGACAAGGAGATCCCTGCAGTCCGTATAATTTTTATGAGAAACATGTCCCTCGCACTACCCAATATACGCACGGTTGCACTGTCATTAAAAGTTTACGCACATGGTGTTTTTGTTGAAAAGCTTTGCTTTGGTGCTGAATGCAAAGCATTCAAAGGTGGTCAAATAAAATATGAAGCCGTCGCCTTATTTTCATATCCATAATTGTGGTTTTACTGCTTATTACTGTTAAATGTGTTAACAATTGTTAAAAACAAAAAACTGTGCAATTGAAAAGTTTTTACAATTTTTGGAGACTTGTGTAGACATTGAAATTTCAGCTTAAAAAAGGAATTTAGTAACTTGCGACTTCGCTGTAGTGTATTAATTGGAAAAAATGCACTTCCTAGGTTTTGTAGACTTTGGAGACTTTTGACATTTGGGTATAGACTCTTACAAATTTTTAATTGCACGCGTTTTTTGTTTTTTTTTTAATAATTATACACTTTGGTTACCTTTATAATAGTTGTGTAGAGTTTCCTTAACTCGTATCTTGCACTTTTGAAAGGTTTTTGTAGTTTCTGTATAAATGTTGTACAAGGTTTATAGTGTATCCTCCAATTGTTGAACCTTTAATCGCCCGAACATATGAGTATAACACCCACTCTCCAATTAATCACTTTTATTTGGCCACCAGCATTTAATAATGTTTACATGCCTTTTATCATAAATTGACCACAAATCCTACAAATTTGTACGCATGCTTACCTTGATTGGAATAATGCTGCTGCAGCACGCCACAAATGATGATGAGCGCGTTGTTGGAATAACAAAAAAAACATTGAAAAATGCAACAAAAAACGTCGAAGCCTACTTGAATAACGATGATATGCTGGCATTGAAGCAAATGCCACTTAAAGCAAAGTCACAAACAACTACAGCGTATAAAACTGCTTTGGAGAGTATACGAAAACTACAACAACAAGACAAACCAGTGGAAATCACCGCTGCAGCAGCCAAATTATATAATAGTTATGATGGGCCACAAACGCGTGTCGCCAAAAAGTCAAATACCAATCACAACAACAACAACAATGAGAAGCAACAACAACACGCAGCTAATTTGACCACATCGTTTCTCAGTGCGCCGCCAGATGTAAGTAAACATAATAATGGTGTGCTACCACAACAACTACAAAAAATGCAGCAACAACAAAAGCAGAATATGCCACAACAACAACAAAAGCTTGCACAAAACATTAATGCATGCAATGATAAGTTAACTAGAAATTTAAGTTCGAATTCGAACACAACTTCGAATGCCAATGCGAATGTCATAGTAAAGCGCGTTAATTTCGATTTGCCACAAAAAGTAGACAGCATGGCGGCAGCGGCGCGAGTTGAGTCCGTAAACAGGAATTGCCCGCCACCGCCGCCACCCGCCAGTGTTGCCACTTTTAGTACACCAGCTAGCAGCAATAGCTGTAGTATTAGTAGTAGTGATAGTAGATGTAGTAGTAGCAGCCATTTAAATAGTAGGGCAGCGGCACTCGGCAGCGAAAGTGTTAGCGGTGAAGTGTGCTTTAACTCCGCAAGCGCTTCTAACTCCACAACCACACCGTTAGCTGGCAGCGTTCCAGCGACTAAAACGCTTGCCGCCTATCAACGAAGCGCCAGCGCCTCGGCTAATTACACTTCCAAGCCACTTACACTGCCGCATTACGCACGCAAAGCTTCCAATCGCGCCGAATTGGCTAGAATACACCTTTCGCCCTACAAGCAAATCGTCTATAACGGCACCTATCCCATCGACTTGCCACTACAATCACGCTTCGAAGCGCTGGGACGCGACTATGACCCCGAAGCGAATGCACAAACGACACGCCTCAAATACACACACATACTGAACGATTACGACCTGGATGAGCACGACTTGCTTGACGATGTGGCCGAGGAAGATGAGGATGACGACGACGAAGACGAAGACGATGACGACTTTGTGGTTGATGACGATGATGCTAACGCTTACGATTATAACGAAGCGGATGAGCTCGAGTTCAATAAAGTGGATGAGCACATGCCGTATGACATGGCTGCCTTTCTAGCGGACCAAGGCCGGCCTGAGCGCGGCACATTGCTCAACAGACTTGGCGTTATACGCGAGGTAAGCACTTCCAACAGCGTGTCGCTAGCCGGCGATGAGCCTGCTGACGCTGCCGGCACTGTGACGACCAGCAATCATCACGCTGTCTGGTCGATGCAAGAGCTCATTGCGAACCCGGCAATACCGCTCAACTATCAAAAGATGTGTCATGAAGTTGAGCAGAGTTTGACGTCGTTCGAGAAGTACTTGGATTCGAAAACTTTCGAGCAGCGCAAGTCGCAACAGCAGCCAGTGCGCACATATGATATTGATGGGCCGATTGGCGAGCCGCAGGACAAGAAGCATATTTAAATTGGCGGTTGATAAAAGCGGTAGATATTTAGTGGGACTTTTAGTAGAGTATGAGTTAGTTTGGTAGACTTTCGAGAGTAAAATATGGCATGTTAAATAATGGTTAATGTTGAAGTGCTCTGCCAATCTTTACTTGCCTAACGAAAATATCGACTTTTCTCCAATATATTAAAATAGTTTCTAAAAGCGATTTAAATTACAAAATGCGATATGGTTATATAAAACTGTTATGTGTTATGCTATGTTCTGTGTTAATTTGAGTTACGTACATATATATTATATATAATATATCTATGTATTTAACCGTATTTTTGTTGTAATTTTATTATAAAAAATTAATCTCATAATAGGTAGACCTTTTTGTGTATACAGTTGTATTAAAAAATCAAACTTTAAAGCCACAAAATTGTTTCTTAACATTTCAGAATCTCAAAGCGAATAATGAAATGGTTTTATTTTTAATATCGAGTTCAAACCTCAGCAAAAAATCACATTCACGAATTGTTATCGATAATTAGCTTTACCATATGTGTGTCTAATTTTTTATTTGCAACCTTACGTACATATGTATGTTTGTATATAATTGTCAATAGTCAAAAAATATTACAAAATTTCAGATTTTGTTTGATTGTCAATATATCAATATGTTTTGACACTACGATATTTCAGATTTTGTTTCTAATATTGCAATGAATTTTCGTTAAATACTACGTATTTGCATTATTTCTGCTTAAAATTCGAACTTTTACAATTTCTACCAAATTTTTAGATTTTGTAGACTTTTGAGACTTTTGACAAAAGCTTGTAAATTGCGCGCTTTTGCTTGGCAGTTTTTAGGAACTTTTTAATACTTCAATACACTTTGGAGACTTAAAAAGCATTGTGTAGACTTTTTGTGCGCTGTTTGTTTTGCATTTTAATGCCATTTAAGTACATTCAGTACTGTTTTACAACATTTTAGAATATCACAAGCGTCAAAAGTGACATAATTTGAAAATTTTGCGTAAATTAGCGCTGCCAAGGGCATAATTTTGCAACTCGTTGCTTGTAGACATTTTTTTACGTAATTTAAAAAAATTTGTATCAAAACTTTTACTATTTTTATTATTTTTTATATTTCGAATTTTTTCGTTAAAGAAATTTAATGCTCTAAATCTTAGAGTTACATATTAAATGTTTTATTTAAATTTTTTTTATTTAATTTTTTTCTATTTTTATTAATTAATTTTTTTATTTAATTCAATTTGCTTATGATAACAATTCGTGTGAATGTAAATATTTTATTGCACACAATATTATTGTGCAAATTGACATTTTTTTTTAAATTTATTCTAAATAAAATTTTGTAAATCTACTAACTTTTAAATTGTATTTATGCATTTGTAGTATAATATTTGTAAATGCATTTGAACTGACCTCATTCTGTTAAATTGGTTTTTGAATATTACGAAAAAAATTTTCTCAATTTTAAATGTTTTTGAAATATTAAAAATTTTTTTCTTACATAATTTTTTTTATATAATTTTAATTTATATTGTAATAATTATTATTTTTTAAGTTTAAAATTTTATTTTTTGTTAATTATTTTTATTTTAATTATTTTTTTAAATTATTTTTATTTTAATTATTTTTTTTTTAAATTATTATTTTTTAAGTTTATATTTATTAAATTTTTTTTAATTTTTATTTTTTTGTATTGTTTGTATAAAATATAAAAGAGGTAAATTTATTTTTATATATTATTTTATTTTTATTAATTTGTTTAATATATTTATATTTTTTTATATTTTTATTAATAAAATTTTTTTTTTTAATTTTGTAAATGTTTAAAATTTTTTTACATACAATTTTTTTTATTTTTATACTTTTTTTTGTTTTATTGTTTTTAATTTCTAATATTTTTTGTTTTATTAAATAATATATACAATATAGGTTTTTTTCTGAGTAATTTTTATTCTCATTTTCTTTAAAAATTTGTAACACCCAAGCACATTACAACTATAAGTACACTTGAAGCAGAATTTTTATTTAAGTACATATATTTTTTTTTTAAATCAGCAAACTGAATAAAAAAAAGTTTCGCTTGCAAAAAGTATTTGTTTTGTCTCTAAGAAGTCTTATTCCTTAGTTAAAAATATCAATAATTAAAATTGAAAAATGGAATTGTAACTGTTTGTGCTCATTGTAAAAATACGAAAATAAAATTAAAAATTAAAAATATAAAAAATGTGCTTAATTAAGTAGTTACGCCGATATAAACTGTATGAAAGCTTACGAGCATAAAAATAACTGTATTAATATAAATTATATTACAGCCAAAGCATATTTATAGACTAACAGCAAATAATTTAAGGGGTAAATTAGTTTGATACACACGAACAAAGCATTTTGTCTTACTAATTTCGCCTTCTAAGCTTTTTTCGCCTATAGTAAAACAAGCTTTAAACTTGTTTCGGTTAAAGTGATAAATTTAAAGTAGTCACTTATAAACACAGAAGTAATTAAAATTAAGAAAAGCTGCGCAGTTCTATATGAAAGCGTCTGATTTTCAGCGAAATCTGCTGACTATAGATGAAAGCTGAGTGCGGAAGCTTCAAAAAACTTCGCTTCAACATGTGGAATACACTTACTTGCTCGCTGCGTTAAAAGTTGCGCGCAACTTTCAGTTGACTATGAAAGCTTTTAAGCGTTTAAAGCCTGCTTTTTATTAATTTCATTTAATTTCTCTTATATAAGCTACTAACGTCGGCTGACTTATCGATAGCTGCTGAAATTTTAACTAAACACAGTTATCTTTTAGTACTTTTACAGCTATAATATAAAAAGCTATTATTATTTTTTATTTTAATTCTAATTTCCTTAACAATGCATTGCAAATGTAACATTAAAACTTCGTCAATAACCTTTAGAATGCGCGGCCCACCATATCCTTGCCGAAATCGAAAATTTATGATTCGGGAGATGAAAAGCAGCAGGCGCAACAAAAATCTAACGATGCCGGCAATAAATTGAGTGAGCAGAAGGGCGGTAAAAATGATGCTGGCAGGGAGACGCAGAAGAGGTGAGTGAACGTAAAAAGTGTATATATATAGCTTTTGCTGAAGGTTTTGCTGTTGTGATGAAAGCTTTTAAGGATACAGAAACTTTAAAGTCTCTATAAAAGCTTTGTAATTTGTTGTTGTTAGCTTCACTTGGACCTTAGAATGTAGAGATTTAATAATTTTTATTTACAGCCTAAACGTTCCGAAACCAAAATTTTGTAATTTTCTTATTATTTTCTTTAAAGCTTTCATGACACTTGAGAGTATTTTTTTCTCCAACGAAAGCTTTCACAAAGCTCTCGAGCTTTTTACATCACATTTCTATTTCTAATTGAATTTAATGTACTTTCTTGCTACTTGAAAGCTTTATTTACTCGCCTTAAAGCTTTCACAAAGCTCTTACCCTTTACCAACATATTTTTATATGTAATGGAATTGATGTTCTTATCTGGAAATTAAGAGCTTTATTTACTTCCACTAAAGCTTTCACAAAGCTTTAAAATTTTTATTACCTAATTTTTATTTCAAATTGAAACTAATTTACTTTGCAGCTCTCAGCAAGGCAATCAAAACTCCGGCTGGTTCGGCGGCATTTGGAACAAGCTTTCACTCAAGCCCAAAAATCAAATGATATTGCCTGATGACAAGAATCCCAGTATCGTTTGGGATCCGGAGAAGAAAAAATGGGTAAATACAGATGGTGACGAAGCGGCCGAAGAAAGCTTCAAGCCGCCACCAAAGATGAGCGATATAATGGCACAAGCGCCACCAGCAATGGGTGCGTTCAATGTGCCACCTGCGTCTCAGCCGTATTCACAACCACAACAACAGCAACTGCAACCTCAGCTACCACAGCAACAGCCCTCACCATTGCTCGACACGCAACAATATGCTGCTCCCACACAATCAGCAGCCCCTGCCGCCTCCCTAGCACCCGTCTCTGGCTACAGTGCACATGCGGTGACCAGCGCCGAAGCGGCAGGTGCAACTAAAACACCCAGTTTGCAGTCAAATATGTTCAAAATGCAACGCAATCGAAGTGAGTCGATTATTTTAAGTATAAAATGATTAAAAACAAATATATATAATTATTTTTTAATCAATTTCCTAAATTTTCAATTTCAGCCTTGAAGAATTCCTACGTCGATGTGTTCAATCCCTCAGGTGCCCCTATGAAGGCGGTGGAAAATGTGCTGGCTCCGGCCTTGCCACCGGCTGCAGTGCCGCAAAGTGGCTTCTTTATACCAGGTCCAGCGCCAGTTGCCGCTACGGGCGATAATAATGATGCTGGCGCATATCAGCAGCAGCAACAACAACAAATGCCGCAACAAGATGTGAGTATGAAGTTTTAAGGATTTCTTGATTATAAATTGTGAATTACTTTATTTCAATCTAAAATTCTGTATAATATAGAAATTTTACTTTTAACAAAAATGATGGAAAAATAAATTTTGTTTTGTAAAATAAATTCATAATAATGTATGTGTTATTAGAATATTTATTTGTTGTTGTTGTAGCGGCAGAATTCTGCCGAGTTCACAATCCTTGGTCGAATAAAATCCGGGTTCGTTCCGGTTACGTAGACCCGAGTGTCGCGGGAACGAATATTTATTTGTTGCATATTTTGCTTAAAAATATCAAATATTCAACTTTTTTTCTGTAATGAAATTTCAAATTTGCTTATTTGTTGTTTATGTTGTTATTGTCTATTTAAATTTTTTTCGCATTCATATTTTCTTAAAAATTGTATATTCAAATCTTTTTATTTAAATTTTTTCTCAATTCTCAAAAAATTTGCCATTCCAAAATTATGAAAAATTTTAAAATTTAAGAATTCAAAATTTGTATTCAAAATTTTTCTTAATAAATTCGTGTACAAATGTTTTTATTTAAATTGTTTATTTAATTTTTTTTTCAAGTTTAAAAATAACCTAAAAAATTTACTTTTTGAATAATTAATTAATAATATTCACACATTTTTCAAAACAGATTAAGAAATTTATTTTTAAATGTAATTCAAAATCCAAAATTCGTTTTTTAATTTTGTAAAAGATATTTAATGTTTCATAATTTATTTATTACATTAAAAAATTTTTTTTTGTAATGTAAAAAATTTTAAGTTCTATACAAATTAGTAGGCCGCAGCGTTTGGAATTTCAATTAAATTGTTTTCGAAAACTATTGTTATTAAAAAACATACTACGAAATATTATTTTTTTAAATTTTTTTTTAACAATTTATGTTTATTTGAAAAAAAAGTTTGTATTGTAGTATTTTAAAAATTATAGTTATACTATAAATGATTGCATATGTTTTTTTGTTTAAAATATCTTAAATATAACAGATATAAAATCAAAAAAAAATTTATTACAACTACAATATTTTATTTATTTTTTAAATTTTTTTTTATTTATTAAAATTTTCTTTTTATTTATTTGAAATTGTTTATTAATCTATTTGAATATTTAAAAAAATTATTTTCAAATTTAAAAACTTATTATTTTTTAATTGCAAAAATTTTTTAAACGATTTTATTTGTTTAGTTTAGAATATGCTATGAAATATTTAAATTTTATTTATTTTAGAATATGTTTGTTAAATAATTTCAAATATTTTTGTGTTCAAATATTTAGTTGTATTATTAACTTTCAAAAATATTTAATTTTTTGAACCATACCATAAAAATATATATTACAAAAATACAAATATATATACATATATTTCGAAAATTAAATTATATATATTAAAAAAATTAAAAAAAAAAAACATAATATGTAAAAGTTTAAAATCAGTAAAATTTTTATTTACATATATTAAAATAATAGTAATAAAAATAAATATAAATAATAAATAATAAAAGTAATTAATTTAAATATTATTCACATAACATTGTTTATTTTTTTAACAAATTTTTTAAATAATTTTTTTTAGATTTTTTTAAATTAGTTCAAATATTACATAAACTTTTAATAATAATTATTTTTTGTTTTTTTAACAAATTAAAATTTTTACGAATTGTTATTTTATTATTTGTTTACAATTTTCATAATATTTTTTAAGGCTTGCGAATATTTATAACAAAATTTTTTCTTTATTTTCTTATAATTCTAGGTGCCACAATTCTACAATCCAAATCAATTTAGCGGTGGTGCTTATTAGATAAGACAGTCAAACCTTCATTCACATACACATGTACACATACAAACTAAATAACAGTGGGAATAAAATAGTCATACTCTTATACAGATAATTAAATAGTTAAATTTTAATAAAAAAGTTATTCAATTGCAAAAAAATAGTAAAATCAATAGTATTATACAAAAACAACAACAAAATTAGAAAACGACATAAATCAATAGGGAAATGTATAGACTGCTTGGCGTGAGGCACGTGCGATCAGTCTGAAGCTGTGTGTGTAGCAGTAGCGTTGTAGTACATTAGGCAAACGTAATAATGACGAAAATGAATTTCAATAAAAAAATTATAATAAATGTATGTGTTTGAAAACAACTGTAAATCTTAAGATAAAACAAACGTAACGGGAAACTGGTAATTTGTCTTAAATTAAATAAATATATAAATAAATAAAAAAAAATATATATGTATATGTCTGTAGCTGTAGCTGTAAATTACAAAGTAAAAGTCTTAACTAGAACATGGAATGCAAACGACGAATACTGTACTGCTGCTTGTAATCATTTGTAATTAATTAAAAGTAAAATATTAAAATTAAATAAAAATATCCGAAAATAAAAAAACTTGAGGAAAAGCAAAAAAAAAACACAATTCAATTGCTTAAGCTACAAACACATATATACATACAAACATACAGACATATATACATATAAAAATAAATAAATGTTTACTTGCAATTTATGTGTTTATGTTTAAATTACCTTTTTAAATTTATATAATTAAAAATGATCTAAATATGCTTATCACTACTATTATTATTATTATGATAATTATTAATCTAAATATAATTATACATATATATTAATATGTTTATTATGAATATTGTAATTGTTTGTGAACAGCATTGCTTAAAGAAATTGTTAAATAGTTTTAGTTCTTAAAGACAAAACAAATACAAAAAAGGCGAAACGATAACTAAATAAAACCTATAAATAACTGCTACAACAACAAAAACTGTGGAAAGTTAATTCTCTTAAAAGCAGTATATATATTATACAGAAATGCGAATCATGTACATAAATACATAAATTTTTAATACTTTTTATTTTTTTATTTGTTTATATTTCTTATTTTTTTTATTACTTTGTTTTATTTTTTAATTATTTAATAGTCTAATCTTTTGTCCAGCTTTTTTTTCCAATTTTCGTCTAAATTTTTGTTAAGCGTTTCTTTAATTTTCTCCTTTATTTTTTGTTCAATTTTTTTGTTTTAATTTTTGTTTAACTATTTTATTTTTGTGAATTTTTTTAAAATTATATTTTCTTATTCATATTTTTTTTAAATTATTTAATACGTTTAATCTTTTGTCCAGTTTCGTTTGTTTTTAATATTCTCTTTTAATTTTTGTTTAGTTGTTATTTTTTTTTTCATTACTGTTAAATATTTTTTCATTATGTGTTAATTTTTGAAATTATATTTCTTATTTCCTTTATTTTTTTTAGATATTTAATACTTTTAATCTTTTGCCCAGTTAAATTTTTTTTTAAATTTTTTGTTTAATATTCTCTTTTTATTTTTGTTTAGTTCTTATTTTTTAATTTTTTTTTTAATTTCTGTTACATTATTACATATTTTTTTGTTAATTTTTGAAATTATATTTGTTATTCCCTTTAATTTTTTAAATTATTTAATAGTTCTAGTATATTGTCCAGTTAAAATTTTGATGTAATTTCTAAAAATGTTTTTCAAACTGTCAATTTTTTTTTATTTTTTAAGTTTTTGTCTAACTTTTTGTTTAATTCTCTTGCATTTTTTTAAACATTTGTTTTATTAAATTCTTTTTCTACTTCTTTGTTTCTATTTTATGTTTGTATGTTGGTTTTTAGTTATATTATTTTTTTAATATATTTTTTTGTTTATTTTGTTTGCTATTTTTTATTTCTGTTTTGTATTTGGTTTACATTTTTTAATTTTTCTTTTTCAATATTTTATATGTTCTATTTATTTAGGTGCTTTTCTTCACTTTCGGAGAAAAATGCTAATTTTTTTAATTTCTTTTGTTTAAATTTTTTCTGTTAGATTAAATTTTTATTGAAATTAATATTAGTATTTTAACAATTATGTTTACTATTTTTTGTATTGCGTGTTTAATTTCTTCTTATATTTTAAAATTTAAAATTTTGAAATTTGAAATATTATTTTATTGTTTTTTTATATAAGTTTTCTGGTATCTTTTTAAATTTTGTTCGACATTTTTTTTAACTGTTAAAAATTTTTGTTTTCTTTTTTTATATATTTTTTTTTAATTTTTTATATAGTATTTATTTTTTAATTTTATATAATTTTTTTATTTGTTAATTTTATATTTTTTTTAGTTTTTAACATTCTATTATTTATATTGAAATCATAAAATTTTATTTATTTTATTAATTATTTATTATTATTTTTATTAATTTTGAATTTTTTATTTCTTTGTTAATTAAATTGTTTTTGTTTCAAGTTGTTATACTTTTTTATTTTTAGTGAGATTTGCATTAAACAAAAAAATTAAAAATTGTATTTTGAAAGTTAATTTGAATTTTGAATCACGTTAATTAATTTTTAATTTTCTTTTTTGTTTTTAATTAGATTATAACATTATCTTACATAATAAATATTTTCTTTACTACTTTAAATAATTTTTAGTTATTCGATTAATTTTCTTTATACAGTTATATTTTTGTAATTTGCACTAATTTTCAAATTATTTAACATTATATATATTAATAATGTCAAATTATTTAAAAATTAGTAAAGAGTTAAAGAAGTGCACATTAAAACAAAATATAAATATTTTTTAAAGTATTTTTTTAAGGAGCCGTAAATTTGAAAATATTCTTCAGCTTTTTCGTGCTCTCTTTATTTGATGAAAAAGAGAGAATAACAACTAATCCCTAAGAACTAGCTGCTTTGGTCACCGCAACAAACGACAGTGGAGAAGATCTTCGGCTAAATAAAGTTAAAAAATGGTCACCAATATTAAAACTTATTATTTTTTTTTAAATTTTATTTTAAGAAAGTTTTTTTTTTGTGTTTTTTAATACAACCTAAAAGGTTTTTTTAAATTATTGTTGATTTGTTTTATTTGTTTAAACTAATTTACATTTAAAAAATATGCAAACATTTATAAATTGAGGAATTGAATTTTTAAAATACTTTTGGTTTTTTTTTAACATTTTTTTTAAAAATTCGTTAAGCCTTTTCTATAAAAATAAATTTTTGTGAACATTTATCATTAGTTTACTATTTTTTACCAATTAAAAAAAATCGAAAGTTTTCAGTATAAATTTTTTTTTTTAAATATAATTTTTTAACATTAAAGAATTCTAAAATATTAAATTAAAGCTTAAAATATATTGATTCTGATGCTATATTAAACTATGATATACATAACATATTTATAAAATATAATATGAAAATTGCATTTAATAAGAATTTAACAAAAAATAATTAGTAAAATAACAAATTATAAATATATATATGCGTATACATATACATAGACCTATTAACAAATTAATAAAAAACATTAATTGAAAATAAACATTTCATGTCATTTTAATATTTTTATTTTTTATTTAAAAATTTTTATTTTTTATTTTAAAATTTTTCACAAATTTCAAATTGTACTACATATAGAAAAAATAATATGAAGGGAGATAAAATGTGTTAGCGTGAATTAATTAAATAAAATCAATAAAAAATATATACACATACGCTTGTATAAGCTGTTTTAATTTATTATTATTTTATAAAATTTGGTTTTCAATCATAAAAAAATATTTTAATAAAAAGATATAAGTATCATAAAAAAATTTTTTTTTCTGTTATTCAAGTTATATATAATGGCGCTAATAGTACTAAAATAATTTAAAGAAATACATAAATTAAAAATTATGCATAAAAATACACACATTGTTTTATTAAAAAAATAGTTTTTAATAACTAAAGTAAGTGCTAATAAATAAATTTTTACATAAGTGTGACCGTCGACATATTTTTAAAACATAAAAAACCCAAAGCTGCCTTAACAATTGCGTCCAACATACGCTTTAAAAAATTTGCAGCAATGCATCATTACCACACGATTTTATCGTCCATTCACTTTATAGAACTCTTTTAAAAATCATTACCACTCTGTCATACATATTAAACTATTTTCAACTGCATTTGTTGCATTTTTGTTGAAGAAATACTTCGTAATTTCATATTTCATAAATATTCATTGATCTCTTCATAAATAAATATAAAATTATACTCTATTAAATGCATCAAGCTTTAAGCTTTCATCTGACACCTCAATCATGCAAATCGGTGCATAATAACGGAAGTTATAAGCGAGAATCTAGCTGCTTCAAGAATACTCACACCTACACACACTCGCATGCATGCGACAGAATTTGCCCGCATGCGATATTTGCCTGTTTCTGGCTACCAGCTACAAGGCCAACAGAACTGCTACCTACTAGCTACCGAAAGGTTTTTCGCTTATGAGCTTAATTATATTTAAAACAACCATAATATTTTAAAAAAGGAAATAATTGAACGACAGTTTTCGGAAGAATATACACTTTTCCTTAAGAACCGGCGAAATTTTTTTTGCAGCACAAATTACGCATAGAATCACTATACTAGACGTGATGTAGCATAGCCCATCAGCTGCGTCAAGCGTTAAGCTTTCATATGACAGCTCATTCTTTAAGATCGGTCTATTATTAACGAAGTTATATGCGAAAAACCTTTCGGCAGCTACCTACTGTACAGTACTGTTGGCCTGGTAGCTGGTAGCCAGAGACAGGCAAATATCGCATGCTGACAAATTTGCTTGCATGCATGCGAGTGTGTGTAGGTGTGAGTATTCTTGAAGCAGCTGAGTGTTCGCTTATAACTTCGCGGTTACTGCACCGATTTGCATGATTGAGGTGTCAAATGAAAGCTTAAATCATGGGGCTGATTTTGAAAGCAGGTTTACTAAATTTTATTATATGAGTATGTTATTTTAAAAAGAAAAATTAAAGCGTAAGTTTATGCAGATAGTGGTAAGAAGAATCAAGTTAATGGTAATTACTTATAAGTAATAAATTGGCTGCATCAATTTTGCAAATTTTGCGTCGCTGAAGATCTGTGCTTCTTCTTCTTCTCTGCCACAAGCGCGTATTGTATAGTTATTCAAGCTGTAAAGGCTTATAACTTCATAACTACGGATCTGATTTGGACGATTGAGGTGTCATATGAAAGGTTATGATTTTGCGCAACTACTTAAATACTAATAAGACGGAAACTTAACAGCGGAAAAGGTAGTTAATTTGTATATTATAGCAGTACCTGTGACCTGTGATTAAGTATTAATATTTATTTCCATTAATAGTGTTTCCGTGCTGCCTTATACTTCGAAACAAATTACTAACCTTTAGATATGCCGCTTAGTAATAATAAAAATGACTTTTTTATGTAATATATTTTTTATTAATTTTTTGGTTTTATTTTGGTTTATTGCCCTGCTACTTACATACAAAAAATTATAATTGTCATTATAATAAATACATAATATTAATTGCGAGTAGAGTACGCGTTCATTGTTCGTGTATTTTTAATATTTTTTTTATAACTACAAACATACATACATATATAGCAAATATAATATACATATGTATGTATATGTACTTATACAGTGGCGTTATACAATGTTTGTTTATATATAAGTGTATATAATATATTGGTACAATATTTTGTGAAAATAATTGTTTTAACAGATAATTTTTAAAATATTTGTTTTTTGAAAAATTCAAACTTTTTGTTTTTCCGAAAAAATATTTGAAAAATATTAAATAACTTTTCAAATTCAATTTGTTATATATATTGGTACAATATTTTTTGAAAATAGTTTTTAAAGGTATATTTTTCTTAATTAAAAAAAATTTTTTTTTAAGAAAAAAAAATTGTTAAGTATAAGAGTACAAATCTCGTTTGCAAAATACATACAAACATATGCATATGTATACTTAAGTGTATACATTAGTACAATATTTTCTGTAAATAATTTTTTAACAAGCAATTTTTAGAATACATATTGAAAACAAATAAAAAAAATTTTTTTTTTAAATTAATTTTTTTTTGAATATTGAAAAAAGAAAAATTTTAAGAAAAAAAAATTAAAATTTTTTCAATAAAATTAAAAAGAAAAATTCAAAAACATGACGAAAAAAATTTTTTTAAATAGTCCAAAAATTTTAAATTTTCTTTTACAATATACATAATAAGTTTCTTTATTCGTACAATATTTTTTGAAAACCATTTTTTTGTACAAATAATTTTTTTTTTAAATTTTTGGTTTTTGAAAAAAAAACTCAAAAAAATAAAATAAGTTAACAATTTTTTTTCAAATGAGTATGCATTTATAAATATGTTTGTTTATAATTGAAAAATCAATTATAAATATTTTTAATCTTCGGTGAACGAGCTTAAAATATTTAAGAGCGTTGAGGTGCCCTTTTTTATTTAGTTTTCGCCAAATATTTATATGTTCGTATGCTTGGCTGTATTAATATGCCGAAATTCGCACGCTTTCTAATGCAAATATGATTTATTTCTGCATATGCAGTTTCTATAGAACTTTTATGGTATGTAGAGAAAAATTCGTGTTTGAATTTTTTTTCAAAGTTTTTTTTTGTTTTTTTTTGTGTTTACTATAAATTATTTACATTGCTAAAATGCTATGCTAGTTTTAAATTTTTTTGTATATATATATATATACATATATAATTTTTTTGGAGTATGTTATGTAAGCCAGTTAGCTAAATATATCTCCACGTCACGCAGCGGGACAAAATATGTCATACAAACAGTCACACATACAATAATAATAATAATAATTACTTATTTTATATTAAGCTAATACTATTTTTTCTAAAATTTAATTGCTATTTTTTCTTAACCTTTTCAGCAATTCAATATTTTGTTTTTTTGCATGTAGTATAATTTTTTTTTCTTTAATTTACAATACATTTAGTGTATACGTTCAAATATATATAAATATTATATAATAAATTTGTAGTGAAAATTTCCATTTCCGTAATAAGCAAAAATACTATTTGTGACTTTCAGCATAACAATGAGTGCAACTAAGCAATACATAAAATATACATTTATGTTATAAGTGTATTTGCTTGTATTTATACGCTCATTTGTTTTGATTTCATATTTCGTATTCTTTTGTAACGGTATTTTGGTGCTAACTAAAACCAGAACATTAAATTACACATTCAGCAACAACCAACTTAGCTCAAACACACAAAAATGTTTGTCCAAGCTTTCAAAACCTGCGACACAAGCTTGAAAGCTTTGAAAAGCTTACTAAATTTATGCAATTTCTAAAAAACAACTGTTAAATTATTCAAATGATTACATTTGCCTAACACGCAAAGCTTTTTGTGCAAACTTATTCAGCAACGACACAAAATCGAAAGCTTTAAAAAAGCTTACTAAAATTATGTTCTCTCTAAAAAAAAATTATGTTCTCTTCCAAATAATTACATTTACGTAAAATTTGCGCATTTACAGCATACGCAATTAAAGCTCTGAAACTCCGATTGCTTTTTAAAGTTGCCATTCACTTTCTAATATTAACTATATAACTTTCTTTTGTAAAATTGTGCACATTTTCAGGCACGCATATAATAAATAAATTATTATATATTATATATAAAAGCTTTAAAGCTATGTGAGCTTTTATGGCAGAGTTTTTGTTTAGAAGGTGATATTCTCCATACAAAAACATTGAAAAATAATTAGTTTCATAACAATTCTCAACTATTAAGTGAGCACTGAAGTGGTATAAAAACCAATGAAAAATTATGTTCTCTTCCAAATAATTACATTTACGTAAAATTTGCGCTCCCTCCAGGGTTGAAGCGGTGGACCATGAACTACCTGAGCGGTCGACACTCATCCGTACTATTTCGAGGTCAAAACTCCAAACTCAGAAAAATTAAACAGGGGGTTCCGCAGGGCGGTGTCCTCTCCCCGCTACTGTTTAATTTCTACATTTCGAAACTCCCCCAGCCACCAGCGGGAATTTCAGTGACCTCGTACGCAGATGACTGTACGATATTGACGTCGGGCAATGGAATCGATGGCATGTGTTCAAAAGTAAACGGCTACCTCTCCGATCTTTCTCGCTTCTTTTCTGCAAGGAACTTAACACTCTCCCCCACTAAATCCACAGCGACCATCTTCACCAATTGGACGAAGGAGTACAGACTGGACCTGAACATTTCAGTCGATGGCACAAAAATTCCGACAGTAAATAACCCTAAAATTTTAGGCGTCACTTTGGACAGTCTGTGCTCTTTCACTCCTCACACGACCGCGATAACTGCCAAAGTACAGAGCCGCAACAAAATCCTCAAGTCGCTTGCCGGCAGCTCATGGGGAAAGGACAAAGAAACGTTGTTGGCAACATACAAGGCAATCGGCCGGCCGGTCCTCAATTATGCAGCCGCAATATGGTCGCCTGGATGTAGTGACACGCAGAATAAGAAGCTCCAGACTTGTCAGAACACTGCACTCCGGACTATCACGGGGTGCCTCTTGATGTCCCCAATCGAACACCTACACAGTGAGGCCCGTATGCTTCCGGTTAAGGAACATAATGAGCTCCTCTCCAAGCAGTTTCTGCTGGGATGTTTTCGCAGAAACCACCCCTGCAGACGCCTGCTTGCAGCGGAGCAGCCTCCTAGGAACATCAAGAGGTCCTTCCTTGACTACGTCGACGACATCAGACAGCACGTCGACCAGACTTCGGACGCAACTAACTTCAGACAAGCACTGACCGCCATTCACAGTGGAGCCATTAACACCTTCACCGACTCCCTTTCAGTGAATGGCGTAATACGAGTCAAACCACCACCCATTGCAGACACAGAGCTCGAGTTGCCTCGCGAATCTAGAGTGACCCTCGCGCAACTTCGTTCTGGATACTGTAGCAGGTTAAACTCCTACCTATCCAGAATAGACCCCGACATACTAAACACATGTCCTGCATGCAATGAGTCTCCGCATGACACTAACCACCTCTTTGCATGCCCTACAAACCCCACTCATCTAACACCCCTTTCCCTATGGTCCGACCCCGTCGAAACAGCTCGTTTCCTGGGCCTTCCGTTAGATGACCTCGACGACAACGAATCTAGAATTTATCACCCAAACGGGGATTAGATAATCGTTATAACAACAACAACAACAAAAACCAATGAAAGCTTTATTGAGCTTTCAGTAAGTTGCTAAGATTGCTGGCCTTTTGTAACATGTGAGAGATATAAGCTTTTACAAAAAGTTAAACGTTCAAAAACTGAAAAAACTTAATATTAATCGCTTTAACTTGTGCTTTAGTAGCACCAAAATACCGTTACTAAGCTTTTATTTTTATACTTTTTTTCAACTATACTTTTTTCAACATTAATTTTTGTTATTGTTTTTTTTAAATAGGAAACATAGCAGTTCGACTTTCGATTCTTGATATTTCTTTCTTAAAGAACCTAAGATATATCTTAATAGCATCGTCGTTGATTAAAAAAGAAAGTTTCTAGTATAATGTACAGTTAGAGACGACTGAAAACGTTTAAGGTTCTAGTTATAGTTTTACGGTGTAGTTGAATACTTCATAGGCATTGGAAGACTTCCGAGCCCAGGAATGAAAATCTCATAAGCTTTACAGACCCTTCATAAAGCTTTTCAAGCTTGCTGAATGTAAACAAATTTTTTACTTAGGAGAAAAATTTGTATTATTGTAAGCAAAATCTCTCGGCAACAATGTGTATTGTTTAACGGAAGGTCGGCTTTTTTATTTACCACGGAAACCTGGTTCGAGCTAAGTCCGTTTTGGTAGCTCGAAAGAGATGGTGTAGCATGTTAGCTATAAATTACTTCAGCTCGATAAAAATAGTTGAACTAAATGATTTATTTTGGGTCATCTGGTCGCTAAATTGTAAACTTAACATACTTTTTGGCGCGCAATTATAATAAATAACCAGCTAGTATATGCCTATACTAATTTATTTACAATTACGTTCACTCTACTTGATGCGCTGATGATCGGGCGTACTCTTCAATATATCCGGCTGATGATGATGAGCGTGCCCATGTGATGAGCTCATGGTGCCCTGATGACTACCGACATGCGTAACACCGATGCCACCACCGCCGCCACTGTAGTGCGACGAGCTCAGCGTATGCGAATGTGTCGAGTTTAGTGTATGAGTGGCATGTGAGTTGAGCGTGTTGTGCGCCGTTGTGGTCGCATTGGTGGACATGCCAGCTGTGGTGGTGCCGCAACCACCGAGACCGGTGCCCGTGCCGGTGCCGGTACCAGTGCCACCGCCAGCGGGACGTGAACGCAGCGAACGATGTGAGCCATTGCGGGTGAGCGTATTCATTTGCGGCGTGCCGGGCACGGTGTGGCCAAGCGCATTCATATAGTCGGCGATTAAGAGCGTTATTTCGAGTATCTTTGGCTTGCTCATAGCGAAGAGCAGTTTTTGCTCTTGTGTACCACATGTAGCCAGCGTATCCTCGTTGGAGACGACCAGCATGAAATCATCCTGACAGCCGCCAAAAGTCATCACCGAGGTGTAGGGATAACGTGCCATTGGCGTCATCGAGCTAAGCTCGAGCACATTAAGCGCATCCTCGGAGACGGCCAACCAGGCCATGGCTTGATCGGAGTGACGTGGTTTGGCTTGGAAGAGACTGGCGCCGAAGTAGGGCCACTTGCGGCAACATGTCAAGTAGATGCGCACACAGTCGAGCGTTGAGCGTCCTTTGAGCAGCATCCACTTCGAGATGAGCAGCTCTTGCACCTCTTTCAGCTGCTCGGCGTTGAGCGCATCACGATAACGGTAGGGATAGAATTTATCCAGCGCTTTGATGCCGACATTGCTACCCGTGCCGCGTGATTTTTCGTGCGAGTAGTCGCCCATGTCGATTTGTGACATCAGCGAAGCCAACTCGAGCGCTAGATCGCGCGACAACGGAAAGCGTCCCTGCACAATCTGTGCATTGGTTTGATAGCAAAATAGCAGACGTTCCTTGTCCGTTTCGAATTTGACTGTGTGCCGCCAGTAGAGACGATTCTTGTAGGTCAACTGTATGACGCGTGTATTTTCGAATTTACCGGAACCTTTTTCGCGCAAGGCGGTCTCCCACTTTGAGATGACGTCACAGAGTTTAGCGAGCGGGTCGAGATAGTGTTCGAGATCCTTTTCGATTGGATCGTCGCTGAAGAGACAGAAACCGTTGGTGGCGTCACGTGTGCCAATCTCCTGCGCGAGCGTAGTTTGGAACTCTTCGATTGTAGTCGAGCCGTCGAATGAGACGACCTGAAAAATAGGTTGAAAAATGTGTCGAACATTAAAAAAATATTTTGATGGAATATTTTGCTTTCATGCAAACAGCTACAAAGCTTTTCGAGTCTCTTCTGATAGATCAAGAAAGCCGCAGTCGTATAGTGTCTGTATTGAAAATAATTAAAGGATGAATGGGAGATCAAATGAAGTCTAAAGAAAATAAGTAGTTTTGAAAGTAGCTTACAAAGAGATTTGACAGAGTTCATTAAAGTTTTAGACACTCTGCAAAATGGTCACTTACCTGATAAGTGGTATTCATCATGTGTACTGGTATAGCATGTGGCAGTGAGTGATGATATGGATTCTTCAGCAATATAGACAGGACTTCCATGCGTGAGGGTTTCGTCTCGCGACCGCCATTCTTCAATGTACGCTCCAATGCGCGCTCACAATAGGCGGCATATTTACCCGTCTCAGTTTTCGTGTCCGCATTACGTGAGAGATGTAGTTTCAGATACCATAGAAGACGACTCGATTTGGGTACAAACAGCGAGACGGCGAGCGAGAGCAATTGCCAGCCTTGGACGAACGAGTAGGCGGGTGGATTTGATTTGCAATCGATGATAGGTGGCGGAGCGGGAGCCTAGGTTTTAAAATGAGAAGAGAAAGAGCGAAAAAATATTAGTTTACAAAAGTTTAGCGTTTTTTGTGTGTGCAAATTGAGCGGAAATGCTGAGCGCTCGGAAATTACTGTTTGAAAATCGCATGCGTTTTTAAAAAGAGTAAATTTATGCAAAATCAAAAATTGTTTATTTAGTTAATGTAGTTTGTTAGTAAATTAATTTCCACCCATACCTGTATGGATGTTGGTGAACTGCCGTTGGCCTGTGCGGCGCCACCTTGTTGTGTATCACAAGTAAAGAGGCTCTGCGTGGCGCACAGAAGTAGTTGCTGTAAATTTCGATTAACAAATTCGAATACCGTTTTTGTGTTTTTTTTTTGTTTTGATTTGGTTTTTAATTTCACACATTCGTTATACATAAACGAGCGAGTGGCGTGTGGCGGGCGCGGGTTATAGTTAGTTTGTTAGCCATTTTGGGTTGGGGCGCGTCACCAAATTTGGTTTTGGAGTTTTGGATTGAGCACATATGTATACCAAAGAAACAACAAAAACAAAAAGAGCGGAGAGAGCGAGAGAAAAAGGTATTGAGTTTGGTTGGTGCGTTAAAAATTTTGATTAAAATTTCGTAGATATTTTCTAAACATATAATTACGCATGTAAATATGTATGTGTGTATATTTGGAAATACGAGTTGTGCTAATGTGAGGAATGTGTTTAGTTTGTTGTTGTAAAATCTTTTTTTCAGCATGCTTATTCTAAAATAAGCGGAAAATTTGGGTAAAAATGTTGTTGTGTTTACTAAATGAGCTATGAATTTGATAACTTCACTAAAATTTCTATCGAAAAAAATATAAGTATATATAATTTTCAGATCGTTGTTTTTTTGCTTTCTAAAAAAAATTTCCTAATAAGAAAAATAGTTTTATTAAAACTTAATATTGAAATTTTTCAGAACTAGTTAATTAAGTGCCTGCTATTGGCATTTTAAACAAAATTCTATAAATATATACTCTTTTCTTTTTTAATTTTGAACTAAATTCCATGTTTGTTTTAATTTTTTATAGTTTAGACAACTCTAGTTGCTTTTAGTTTGTTATACATTTTCAATATTCAAACTCGCAAAATAAAATAAATCCAAAAAATATTAAAATTAAAAAAAAATATATACTAAATTTTTATTTAAAAAATTCAACTACATTTTTTCAGCTTTGAGAAAAAATTCAATTCCATTTGGGCAGCTTCAAACTCATTTGTGGTTGAAAACTTTTCGCATATTAATTTTTTTTATATTTCTAATAAAATTTGGAAACAGTTTTTTTTAATATTCTAATGAAAATTGGAAGGAAATTAAAGTTCTCTGCTGATAAATTTTATAACAAAATAATACATTTTTTTTTTTAATTCCCATTTTTCTATTTGGAGGCTTCTAGTTTTAAATTGTCAAATTTTTTCTTAGCTGAAAAATTGCAAGAAACGATAAAATAAAATTAAAAAAAAAAATTTTAAAAAAGTGTTAAATTAAAAAAAAATCTCAAATTCCGAATTTAAAAATATAATTATTTTTTTATTTTCAATACATTTATTTCAATACAATAAAAATCATTAATTATTCGTTAAAAAAATATTTTACAAAAGCCATTTGAAATATTAGTGAAAGAATAATTTACACTGAAAGAATAGTACGATTCTTTAAATAGAGTTGTGGCATAAATAATAACGCTATGAGAGCACAATAATTATTTTAGAGAGTTTTTTAACACACATTGAGTGAAATAACTCAAGAGAGCATAAACACGTATTGAGTAAATTTGGGTACGAATAGTAAGATAGACAATAAACAAGAAAAAAATATTAAGTAAGCGTAAAATTTAGTTGAGTTTTTTTAATTTATGTTGAGTGAAGTAAAAAGCTGTGTTTAAGTTTAACTCATTTTATAAAATAGCACTTTGGTACACGATGTTATTGAGTATGAAAAAGTATTAACAACCGATCGTGTGTGTGTGTAATTTGGGTAAAAAATGTTGGAGTGAAATAATTTAAGGAAAGAAAATATTATAAAACGAATTTTTATAAAGAAAAACTGTTAAAAGAGCATTTACAAAATTTAAAAATCCAAATTAAAAAAAAAAAAATTGAGTGAAAGAGTATAGGATGAGTGATTTAAAAAAAAATATGCAAATTGAGCAACATACATATGTATGTGGTATGCAGTTTTCTTTTGTAAATTTTCTAAGTGTACAATATGTGTAGTAGACGAAAATGTAATAAAAATTTACAGCAAGTACATGTAAGTATATATGTAACTATTTAGACATTTATGAGATTTTTTCGAGTTCTAGTGCATTTGCTGAGTGAGACGCTATTATTTTTACAAATAATAAAATATTCTTATATGAAAAATTTCTGTTAAATACAATATATAGTAGTTATATGCTCTATATGAATAGTTATAGCTACGAGGTTAGGTTAGACTGTAATTGGTCGTGGGTAAAAGCCACGCGAATTAATTACTTTTTAATGCACCCACGTATATAAATATAAGCATTTAAAGAGGGCCTGTGACTAAGTGGTGTGAAAAATATTTTTTTAATAAAAAAAAGTTTTCAAAAATATTTCAAACTTTTTTTTTATTTTCATTATGAAAACACTTTTTGCTATTATAGTGGCTAGTTCATGTTCGAAAGACAGTTATGAGGGGAAATTGTTAAATATGTTAGTAATAAGTAGCTTTATTCATAAAAATTATATTAATAGAAAATAAAAAATTGTTTTTCAAAATTTAAAATTTTTTTTTAATTCGTATTTTTTTATGAATAAGGCTTTAATGAGTTTTATATATAAGTATGTGTTTCATATTGACAAGCACAAGCTACTATTTATATAATGCTAAATGCTAAATATTTTAAAATTATTATGAATTGACTACTGGGCATGCACTCTAAAGCAAAAATGATTAGTAAATAATAATCAGTTTCAGAAAAATAAAAAAAAAGAACTTAGTGCAGACTAACTTAGCAAGAAACTAAAATAAAAATATATTTAACTAATCTGTTTTTTTAACTTTTATAAATTTCAAAAAAAAAAAAATTTAACGAATTTATGGGATTAGCGGAAAAAAATATTTTTTCAAAATTTAAGAAGATAGAAAATTTGGAAACTTTTTACTTTAGAAACAAAAAAATATTATTATTTATAATTTTAATAATATTTTATTTTGTAATTTTGCAATAATAACAATATTTTGCAACAAATAATAATATTTATAAAATATGTTATTTTGTAATTTTGCCATAAAAAAATTATTTTAAAAATATTTTATTTTGTAATTTTTTTAATAAACACATTTATATTTGCTTATTATTTATTGCTTTTAACTATCTAACAAATTAATTTAAATATTTTTTTTTCACAAAATTAGCCAAGCTGAAGATTTTTTGAGATAAAAAATTTTCCAAAATAAAAAAAATATTTAGATACATTATTTTTTATTATCATATAATTTGCTATTAATTTAAGCTTAAAATTTTTTTTTGTTTAATTCCAAACCTCAAAAAGTTTGAAACAGATTTTTAAACATTTTTCGAATGATTTTTGAATAAATTTATACGTATAATTTTTTACATAATTTGGAGCACTTTCGTGCTTTCCAAAGGAGCATAACCTCATCTATAGAAATCTTAAATAATTGTTTTTTTTTCAAAAATAAAATTGACATTTAGAAAAATTTCAAAAAAAAAATGTATTTGACGAGACGTCATCTGAATTATGAACCCTATCTTATAAAATGCTTATGATATGTTTATTGCTTATGATATGTTTTTAATGTAAGTGATGTTTTTTGTGTACCGTTATGTGTACTTGAACCGTTATAATACACGTCAAAAACACTCACAAATTGTATTACATTTCACTTTTTACGCAGGCGATCGCAAGCTCTTTAAAAGCGCATTGAAAAATAAATTTACAAGTGACGAGATCTATTCAATTTTTTTTACAGTGTTAAATAAAAATTTTTAAGTAGCAAAATGCAAACTATAAAAATAAAATAAATTATGAAAATAAAAACTATCAAAAAATAACCTATGAAAAATTTAATCGAAAATTGTTAACTAAACGCTGTGAGGATGATTTTGTTCACATATTTTCCCACTTTATGAAGGAAGGATATGCCAAGAGTTTTCGCGTATAGATAGCTTCATAAATTAGAAGAAATTGTGGCGGATAGTTTAATACTTCCATAGCTTAAAGACTTGCCAAAGCGCTTCTCAATCTATTGAGGCTTGATCGGCAATGTCGCTTATTTGGTCCGAAAGAGGGCTCTTCTGAAAACTTGCTAACGTTTACCAACGTTAGTTAGTATTAAAAGATAATCCAACTTCCTTTAAAATTCTATAGAATTTGTGGACTCATAAACCAAATGCATTCCACTAAGAAGATGAGAGAGTTGTTATCGCTAGCAGCCGATAGTTCAGATGGGTGCACAAAATTGGAATTTCGGCAGATTAAGCAGAAACTGAAGGCTGTTTTTTGAAGATGGGTATGGCAAAAGTACTAATAGCAGACTTTTGTTTAAAGAAGTGTTTATTTAAAAAATGTTAAATTAAACTAGTACCAACTACAGAAGTTCTTATGGTTGTTGGCCTCGCAGAAACTCTAAAAATAGATTTGAGATTTTAAAGAAAAAAAGAACAAAATGCTTTTTTCGGCAGTGAAATGGGTTTCTGGATCGCATAACAGATCTATCCTTGAATGTATTTAAATGTCATGAGACAAAATAACATATGGATGGTTTACCAAGACTTTCGGATGTAAGGAACTAGAACGAATATGGATTTATGTCTGCCCAAGCACTGTCGTTTAGGAGGAATTCTACACAAATATAATATATGCATAATAGAGCTCGAGTGTTAAGTATACAAATTAGTCGTCCTATAGTTAAGGCAAATCTATAAGGAAGGAGTTTGGAGTTTTGACAACCGAACACAGAAATGTATAGATTTACAGGATTCGTGAAATTTTGAAGATTAATGTATGTTTTTCTGCAAGGAGCTGAAAATTTTTGACGACAACGGTCAACTGATACAAATTTAAGTTAAAAAAAAATTCTTAAAAATCTGGAGCTGTGATATTCATTAAATTTCAAGGGTCGCGATTTCTTGTTTAAATTTAGCTATGAACTTTAAAATGTATGAAAATATAAGTACACTAAAATATTAACTTAAATAACTACCCATCTAGTTAACTAATTTGGTGCTTTGTTTTAGTTCAATTTGGGTTAGTAATATCGACACTAATGCTCTAAGTGGAACTACTAACGCAACATGAACCGAATTGAAAACTAAAGGAACTAAGTAAAACAACTAAAGTAAAAATCGACAAGGGAACTAAACATGAAAAGCTTTTGCAACTTAAAAAACTTACGCGCGTTTGCTTGCCCAGTTTCTTGTTTACCTGGACGCCGACACTAAGCTTCTGGCCCGTGTGCCGTGATGTCTGCTTCACCAATATGCCGATCATTTCCGTTTGCAATTCGGGCATATCCAGGCAGTGTTGTAAAGCATTTTGTGCCAAGACGACGTGGTAATCGATGCCGGGTTGATTGACAGCTACTGACATGAAGAGTTGAATGCTCTGCGAATGAGTAAGAAAGAATATATTATGGATTGCAGGAAATGTGTATTTTTTTATTAAAAGCTGAAGTCTTATATATAAGTTGAAGATAAATGGACGTGGAGCTTACCTTAAACAATTTAATAGCTTCGGGCTGCATGGCTTCTGAGTGTAGCGAGGTAAGCGGTGAAGTGATGGCGTCTTTGGTATGCAATAAAATTGGATGGCGCCATAGAACACAATCTGGAAGACAAAAGAAAGTGTGGTTATGAAATAACAAGCAAAATCTAGATGAGCTTTATACAACGGTCTTCACTTTCGATCGAAGAATTCATGGACTTTAGGGGAAGCGCAAGTCATATGGCACGTAGTCTTAGTTTTAAGTTTAGTAGTTAGTCGAATCGAGTTTCACTTGTGGTACAACTTCGAGCTGTTCCACTTCTTATAAGAGAAGGAATTATAGCCTAATTTTTACTTGTGAAATTATTAGCAAACTAGTCAGAGGTTTAACGGCTCTAAATTTCTGTTAACATGATACACATCTAAGCGTGATATAAACCATTCTCGAATGTCTGTTGCATTTTGCTAGTCGAACTGCCAGTCTCCGTTGGAGAATCTGAGCTATCCGACCGCTTTATATTGAAATCGAGTTAATAATAACAATAAAATACTCACTGGGATCTCCATCAGTCTCCATAAGTTTTTGTACGAGTTGTTCGTATTGTGTGCCCGCATTTGGGCCACCACCCGACACCACAGTTAAATGGTATAGCCAATTATCACGTTCCTGCTTGCCGGGTAGTATAAGGTATGTGGGACCTTGATGTGCTGGATAAATGGCGACGGTAAGACGTGCCTGACTCTGTGTCGGATCTTCACGCTCCTCCGAATCAGAGTCGGAAACATGTTCGACCTCTTCGACGCGTGCATCGCGCATATTTATCTGACCAAGCGGATTCTAGTGAAAATCAAAGAGTAAGTTGGGGTTAAACTAGTAAGTGGGAAGTGCAAAATTAGCTTACCGTCTCGCCTGGCGCCTTAAAGTAGAGGAACATTTTACCCAAAAGCACACACCAACACTTCTTTGCATGTCCATTCTTCACTTTTGTGATCCAACCCTGTATGGTGGGCTTCTGATCGTCACGACTCAACAGCAGCTTGGTCGCATTGCGACGCTGCACATTCTGCAGCACGCGTATCCAATCATCCATTGTTGCATTCGAATCAGCGGTAAGATAGTAAACCTTCTTGCCGGTATCAATCTCAAAAGTGGAAGCACCTTCGGCACGATTAATGCGACATGCCTCATCCAACATGATCTGACCTTGTGGCTTACGGTTGACATCGTGTTGGCTCTTCCAATAGGTGAGTGTGCCATTCTTTAAGACAAACCAACGTTTACGCCACGTTTTCAGTTTGCCTCCGAGTTTGGCAAGATGACCCATCTAAGCGAAAGACAGGAAAAAAGTGATACGGTTAGAACGTCAGCATGAGTTTGAGTTAGAGAGGAAGTGAGCTGCAAGTCAAATTTTGTGTTTCTGTAGCGGTACTTCGCATAAGTACTCACCTTTTCGAGCGATTCGAGCTTCTTGCTTGGCGAGTCCACATACGATTGTCGCATTAGCAGCGACGGCATGGAGGCGTCCATGCACGTGGACTCTGATACCGCATCCGGTGGCAAGGCGTAATCATCCGACAGGCCTGATTCAAAGGAAATATCTGAAATTACTGTACCACGCATGTGGGGGAGACGTAGATGATTGTTGGTAGTCGCGTGATTGTTGGCATTGTTGTTGTGATTTGGTAATGGTAATGTATGTGTATTGGTGTAAGGACCTAAATGTTGTGTATTGTTGTATGTGTGCATTGTGTTGTAATGATTGTTGTGTTTGATATTGGCGTTGGTGTAATGTGTGCTGGATATGTGCATTTGGTGAGCTTCGAAAGAGAATTTTTTTAGTTGTTACAAGGTAATTGGAAATGAGAGCCAAATATTTTGAAATTGTGATTTAAATTATTATTTTTGTTGGTTTTAGTAAGGTTAATGAGGCCAGGACATTTAATGGGTGCATATTGAAAGTAAATTATTAGAAAATTTATTTTATTTGCAAAAAATATATATTTTTTTTATTTATTTAAGAAAATTACTTATTAAGGGGAAAGTTGCGGAAGGATTGACTAAAGGTTACTAGACTACTAACTACTACGGGACGAATAAGAATCGGAGCACACAGCTACTATAAATAGGTTTGTAGGACTGTCCCAGCTTAGTCGTCCCCAGCATTTATTAAAGATGGATCGATGGTTCATCGATTGACTAAAGCGGTAGGACTGGTGGAGCAACAAATTAGAGAATGCGGTTTGTTATGACATTGCTCTAGCGATACGCCGAGAGTAAGTTATCAAACAGATTTGTAGAACATTGAACTTACAATCTATAAGGAGAAGGATCACAGGATGACTTGTAGAAGAAATCTCTAAGCTCATAAAGCTAGCACTCTAAAAAATCCGGAAATGAGTGGAATTATTTGCTCCGAAAACTGAAGCTACAGTTAAAACTGTAGAAAAAGTGTATGAAAGGCTATTTCTTTACACGAGCGGCTGCGCCATAGTCAAAAGGTATATATAAGACAAGTCTCAGAACTGTCTCACTATTACGGAATATTCTAAAAAGAGCTTAAAGGCATAAAGTAATCGCAAGGTTTTCAGGATGAAGTGTTAAAGACGTGCGGATGCCAAAAACTTATACACAGATGTCGTTTAAAGAAGGGAGATGGTCTATACAGGCTTTCATTATTTGGTTGTTCGAATAATAGAATTCCCTAAAAGTCAATCTCGGCAGGTAGAGAGAAGAGCTCCATTGTTGGCTAAAAAGTAAATGTTGGAAGCGTTTAATTGAGGTTGACGCGACTTTAAGTATTAAAATCAGGAGTTTTACTGGTTCTAAAAGGTTTTAGGCTACTTAATGGTTCGAAAAAAATATAGACAAACGAAAACTGAGAGTTTTATTATTATAAAGAAAGATTCGAGCCACTAGTTGGCTGCGAAAATGGAAATTACCGGGTTACTGGTTGTACTTTATCAAAACAAAACATAAATATAATAACTAAAATAGTGCATTCAGATTCCGTTATAGAGGTAGTTTTAACATAGTTAGTATTGGAGTATAGGTGTTAAGTTGTTGTCGGTTAGGTGTTTCGATTAGAAGGTCTGCAAGCACAATCAACTACGTAGTTTTCCCAAAACCATTTCATGCTTTTATACATACCACGTGCTTTCGTATTCTTTGGACTCTCCGAACCACTACGCTTAGCTGGACTCAAACTCGAGGATGTCTTTAGGCTCTTCGAAGGACTCGATGCGCTACCCGAAGTTGATGTTTCCGTGTTGTCGGTGCTTGATGAGTTGTGTGAATTGTGCGTTAGCATAACGGCATGATCTTCGCCATCGCTCGAGTCATCACTGGAGTCGCCCGTGAAGGGCATGGAACGTATTTGTGAGGCGCGCTGAAGGTTAAACGAAATAATTTAACTTTGATAACTATATGTCAGAGTGTTTACACTCACCCCTTTGACGGTCGCATAAACGGGCACCGATATATCACAGAAACCTCCGCTTGCAGTCTGCTGTTGACGTGTGGGCAGCTGTGGTGTTCCAGGTACGCCATTACCGCCAGCGCCACTCTCACCGCGCGTGCTACCCAATGTACCGTTGTTTGAAGGCGTAGCACGTCCATGGCCGCCGCCGTTTGCTAGCGTATTGCAGGCGCTATTGCTGCCTCCCGACGCCGCGCCACTTGTGGACTCCTGTATGTCGGGTGGCGGTTGTGAGTGCGTCTGCGTTGCGTGCACATCTTGTTGATGCTGCACAAGGTTCTCCTCACTCACGCCACTCAGCCCATCGTTGGCTACTTGATAAATCTTCGCCTCCCAGCTGGGGAAACGATGTAATGGTGGCGTTGGTGGACGTGGTACGCCCAAATCACTGGTAGTGGTTGTCGTGCTGGAATTACCGCCGCTCGCCATTAACGCTGGATTGTTTTTCATCCAGGCTGGCAGCTTTTCACACGATGGAGTATAGATTTCAGCATAATCATGTGCAGTATCTGTATCTGAACTATCTGGTCGCGTTGTGGACGCTTTCGAGATGCTGGAGAGTGGTGTGAGCGTTAAACCATCTACGGCCGCAACCAAATTACGTTCGAGCTCTTGCGGTTCCATACTGAGATTGCGTCGATGCTGATGATGCGGATATGAAGCGGTTAATGGGCGATTGATGATCTCTTGCGGATCTAAACTTTCGCTGCGTCGTCGTCCCTCTGCTGAGTCGGCAAACTCTTGCACATCCAAACTCAGACTATTGCGCACTGGATGTGGTCCGACGATGCTGTGTCGGTTCGATTGATTGGCGATATGATTCTTTAATAGCTCCAATTGTTGATTACATTTAACATTCTGTTCGCGCAACAATTGATTTTGTTCTTCGAGTTCACGTAGTTTATTGGTGACCCATTCTTTGATTTTTGCCGCTTTTGCTTCGACTTGTCGAGCGTCGTGTAGACGCAATTGACGTTGCTCCTCAACTTGTATTTCCAATGAGGTGATGGTTTTTTCAGCCTCTTGAGTAGGAAGACTACCTGATTGCTGTGCGGTTAGTGTCGATTGTTGTTGTTGCTGTTGTTGGCTTTGATGGATCGGCGAGGCAGTGGCTGACTGTGGTGGTTTGGGCCATTCACTCAGCCGCTGTTCCATAGCCCGCACCTGCAATGGAGAAAAAGACGAAATTAATAATTAGTATGCATACAGAGAAGATACCGTAAGATAATAGAAAAGTCAGAGATATTGAAAAAGAGTAATGTAGAGAATTATAGATATGGCAGGTCTTTCGGCTCGAGCTAAGGTAGCCGCGAGTTTTTATGTTGAACATTTCTTTCCAAATATCATATAGATGCCTCTGGTATCCCTTCTCATCCTACATAAGCTTTCATAAATCTTTGAATTTCACAGTTTTGTGGTGAAATTCGAATTTCAATATATTTCCGCCCACATTTGCCTTTCATGAACATTTGCTACCCTGCTGTGGTTGTCTGCAAAGTTTTCTGTCCACATAACCCTTTCACTCCCACAAAAGTGCAAAAATATTTGAATATCGTCTAACGTCAATTAATAGTTAACGACCCAAAACCAGTTGGCGATAAAGTTAATTTAATTTAAAACTTTGAGCATTTCTTTACACAACGCCGAGCGCATCAGTTTGGTTTGCGTTAAAGAAACGCCCAGTTCGAATTACGCGAAAAGGGGTTGCAGGCGCTCATTGTGACGCGCACTTGGGTCACGCAAGCAGCGGGTGGGCTGGCGCTACCATTAGTCGCAAGTTCTTACTTGTAGTCGACAACGTATGTAAGTATAAAACGTAAAAGACATCACCACACAATTTTATGGCATGGCAAAGACGAGAAAATAGTCTTCGCCGCATAGTAGCGTGTCTAAGACGCGCAGCAAAGCTGCCAACACGCGTGTAGACAAAGAGTTTATAAAACTTGGCGTGAAACTTAGATATTTAAGTGCTTGTTTTGTTGGGTTTCTGCTATTTATTACACCAATAGCGAGCAGCGTGTGTAGAGGAGGTAGGAAGGTAGCAGCTTATCCGGCACTGCAGTCTCCACAGCCTCCGTTTAGCGCATGAAATCACGATACGCGGTCCACGCATGCGACAAATTAAGTTATTGTGTTCGACCGTAATGTTAACAAGCTCTTAGGTGAGTGCAAGAGACTGCAGTAAGAATGAGTCTGAATGAAGTTGCTTACAGTTTAAAGATGTAGAGAAGCGCGAGAGATCCCAGTTGAACTTAGAGCGTAGCACAAAGTTAAGGTAGATATTGAAACTACAAAGTGGTTTTTAATTTGAGGTTATCTACGTAAGCTAAGTAACTATAATGCGGATTATAAACTTGTAGAGAGAAATTAAAGTATTAAAGAGAAGAATTAATTAGTAGACAACAGCTATAGCATTAAAATCGATCTCTGTGACCGGTCCTCTGTCTTAGAGCAGCTACTCTGACTCAACGTTGGCACTTTCTAGGGACGATTACTCATAACACTTCGAGATATAAAAGCAGAATGCATCACTTTCCTTGTTTTTATTGGAATTTTCCCAAAAGAGCTCGACAAAATGAGGAGCGCACGCTATTATGATGATTTAATTCCCAGTCGTTTTTACAAAAAATTATATCTACAAGTAGTTGTACTTTTCTATAAAGGTTCTATCACATTATATTCATGATTTATTTTCCAATTCATTACTTCGTCGAAGCTTCGAAAGTAAGAGAAAACTTCTCAAAGTTTGAAATTCCTTAGAGTGAATAGTTATGTTAAGCTATCGAAAGTTTTTGGAAATGAGCGCGTTCATGGGCAATATAAAATAAATTACGCAGGTCTAGACCCATCTCAGAAATCTAGGAAACAGCTATCTAAAGCTCGGTGGTGAGAGAGATGAACACACTTTGTGTCAGGAATTGTAAAGCAATCTTGATTAACGCTCCGAGCTATGATTTCAAGAATTCGAAAGAAGGTTCCTCATCCAAAAAGCAATCATTCTAAAGCTCTGTGAAGAGAAAGATGACCTTAAAATGCCTCAGAAACTGCAAACGTATATTGAGCAAGGTTCCGACTTATGACTTCAAGGCTCAGACTTTAGCAGTTTCTTTCGTTTATTCTCAAAAAATAATTGGAGAGTGTTGAGAATTATTTCACGATCAAAATGGCTCACGTTTTGGTCGCTTTTTCGATCCAGCATAGCCAATTTTATTTTTGCCTGACTACCACTATGCAATTAATTGCACTAAAATGCATTCCTGGCCGTTCTACGCTGTCAAACGTAAGACAAAAGCAATTAAGTTGTGTAAGAAAAAGTTTCTACAAAATTATTGGTGCAATACTGAGAGTGATAGAAGGGTGAAGAACAAGTTGATTAAATTTCCAAAGCGTGTACGAAGTCCTACTATAGTTTCTTGTAAAGAAAAGAAGGAGCTGAAAATAAGTGATAAAGGTCAGGTGACTTTGAGGCGTTAAGAAGAACTTTAAAAGTTTTAGAATCAGTGTAGTTAGTAAGTTGTAAGGCGTTTACGAGTGTATTGGCGTTAACGGTAACATTAAACCTTAGTATTTTTTTTTTTTCAAATTTATCTCCGGTATGTAGTTAACGATGCTTAGTTGTATGGTATGTATAAAAGTGTATGTATGTGTGTGCTGTTGTAAAGGATTATCTGTGCACATTAATTATGCTGCAGAGTGAAGATAACGGCACGCTGTCAAAGCATAAGTGCAATTAAGTGCAGGCATACATACATAGTAAAAGCAATCAGTGCCCTCAGGCACAAAAGTTGTGCTTAGTTATTGAGCTGCAGAAAGATTTAAGTATTTAAGTGGCAATATCGTATGGAGACAATAGCTTTTGTGCATTTCAAGTCGGAAGATAGCAGGCCGGTTAGTTAATTTTAAGCTGGTATTGTTATATTGGCTGTTAAGTAGCTTGATTAAAGTTAAAATCAACTCTGCTAAGCAGATGAAGGTGGCGGAGCTGCGAAAAATAGTTTTCATAGTAAATTATAGACACATTTCGTAGCTTAAAGCGGTTGTACGTATGGCATATAGGTAGCACATTATGAGCAGTTGTTTAGTTATGCCATTCGATGCTATGCCATTCTATGTTACGCGGTGTTATGTTATGATTTTTATGCTGCGTTATGTTAAGTAGTTAATTATTCATTTTGCTATTTTGGCGTTATAGCATGCTGTTAAGTTATTTTGTTAGCTGCTATGTCATTCTATAATTTGCGGTGTTAAGTTTATTTACTTTTTATTTATATTATAAATACATAAAAAATAATTTAACTAATTCATTATTTTTTTAAATTTTTATTATGCGTTGCTATGTTTTTATGCTACGTTATGTTCAGACTATTATATATTTTGCTATTTACCGCAGTACAAGTTGCTTTTAAGTTATTTCCTACGATGCTATGTTATTCTATGTTTTGCGATGTTATGCTAATTTAATTTAATAGCTAACTCTATATTATTTTTTACACGTTCAATGCATTTTTTAAGAGTTTCATGCAGAAATTGGTGAGCAAATTTAATATAACTGACTTTAGTCTGACTTTAGACTTCAGACTCAGTTAATTAATATTTTATTAAAATTTTTATTATGCAATGTTATGTTTCTTATGGAGTCTAATGTTAAGTTAACTTATTTTTGCTATTTTATCACTAACCTAACAAGGTTATGCATTTGGATCTTATGCTATTCTATGTTATATATATATGTATTTTATTGATGTTAAATTAATTTAACTTTATGACTAATTCTATGTTCTTTTTTACATGTTGAACGCATTTGTTAAGAGTTTATTGCAGAAGTTGAACAGAAAATTTAATGTAGCTGCATGTTATTCGATGTTATGTTAATTTAGTTGTATAATTAATTCTATGTTATTTTTTGTACTTCTGGTGGGTTCGTTAAGAATTCGTTATATAAGTTACTCATACAATTTTAGTTCTCTGATTAAAATTTTTTTTCAAGTTGTATTGTTCCATGCTATGTTTTTCATATTGTATTATATTATGTTCAGTTAGCTTATTGAATTATTTGTCTATGCTTTGCTTATGCTTTGTGAGCTATTGTTAAGTTATGTGACTCTCTGCTATGCCATTCTATGTTATGCGTTGTTATGTTAATTTACTTTTATAATTGATTCTATATTATTTTTTAGACTTTTAATGTATTTGTTGGGAATTTCTTTTAGAGCTTCTCATGAAAGTTTATTCAACTTTGTTCAACTATTTAATATTTTATTTAAATTTTTATTATGCGATGCTATGTTTTTTGTGGAGTCTTGCGTTAAGTTAACTTATCGTTTAATGTTTTTTTTTGCAATTTTATGCACAAAGTGGTGTCAATGTGGTGTTGTTAAGCAATGCAATTCAATGCTATGTTGTTATTTAAATTTCATTTTGTAATTAATTCTGTGTTATTTTTTTAAATTTTTTTAAACGTTTCATGCGTTTGTTTAGAGTTGTGCCATTCTGTGTTGTTGGTTTATGTTATAGGATTATGTTTTGCGATGTTTTATTAATTTTATGTCAATTTATATAACTATACTTTATAGTTCTTTGCCGAAATAACTGCCTTGGCACAACTTGCAAGTTGACAGTTATTAGCAATAAATTTGCATCTCACTGCTGCCAAAAGTGGAAATGCCTTGACATGATTTACAACAATACTCATTTCCGCAGGTAACAGCCAAATTTGCAAGGCAATGGAAGGAGGTACTTTTTGTTGCCAAAAAAAAAAAAAAAATAGAAAAAATATCAATAAAATGCAGCAAAATATTATATTGAAGAAAATTTTTGCAGCCTAACCACTTTTTTTGTCTTCTTTAATTTTGTTGTTGTATTAAACATAGCGGTACTTGGGTCTGCTGTTGTTCCAAATTTTTTGATATAAGTCTTTTTTTTGGTTTTAAGAAAGCACAGAAATGCAATTTTCGTTTGACACAAACAAACTTTCTGCTATTTCTGGCGGATATAAAATGCAGCTGTCAGTTGCGCTAGTAATTCCCAGGCAAATAAATTTTTGGAGTGGTGCTCGTAAAAAATGAAGAATAGAAATGAAAAATTCTATGTAAATGTTTTACATTGGATACCTAAGGAATGTAAAATAAGTAAACATATCTTTTTTGAACAGAAATATGTTATAT